AAGAAAAAGATTATGATAAAAATCATTAATATATTTTTTAAATTTTATTTAAATCTAATTTATTAAATATACAGAGTGAATTGTGTATTAATCAATTTGTTTAAGTTTAAATTCTTAATAACAATATTTATTTAAAAATATATAAAAAAATTATTAATATTTATAAATTAATAATTTAAAAAAATTGTTTTTTTAAGTTGTAAAAAAACATTACTAATTGAATATATTAATATATTAATATTAGATCATTTTTATGCTGCCTGGTTTGAAAATTGTAGATTATTTTGATTGAAAAGTAAAAGATTGATAGATGAAATAAAGGATTTAGTTGAATAATACTCCAAACGTGTGCATCTCCACTGTTTTGCTTCTTTTATATTTGTTCTATGTTTTATGAGTTCAGTTGACTTATATTTTCTTCTTTTTTAATAATAATTGTTTCAATTGATTTTTATAAAGATTAAAGAAAAAGAATAAATAAAGAAGATAAAATGATATTATATATCTACTAGCGTCGAGACGGGCACTCGCGTGCCCGCCTGTCCGCTTTTTAATGCGCACACATAAAAAATATAAATGACATTTTTTTATTTAATATTAATTTTAAATGAAGGTTAAGTAGGAAGTTATTAGAAAGAAATTATGTAAAAGATGATAATAGTTGTTCAATGAGAACACAATTAATATGCAAACACATACTAGAAGAAATATTCCATAATGACCACCTCCTCCTTCCCCCTCTCTCTCTATCTCTCTCTCCCTCCCTCCCTCATTCCCCCCCCCCCCCTCTCTCCCTCCTCCCCCCACTCTCTATCTCTCTCTCCTTCCCCCTCTCTCTCTCTCATTACATAGATATATATATTTATCAATTACCTACAAATATTAAATATAATTTATATTTAAAACAAAGAAACTCGTTTGGTCGTCTTTTTAATATACATACGTGTTAAAACATAATCATATTTTTTAATTTAATTTTAGTCGCTAAACGTATTTTTGGTCTTCTCTTATTTGTGATTCCTGTATTTATATTTTTTGTTCTATTTATTTGTCATATTTGGTCTTCTCTTGCGAGTGTACTGGTTTTAAATTATTATTAGACCCTCTACTTTATCTAATTAGATATGTTTCACATTTACAATAATTCATATTTTTGTAGTTAACTATCTAATTCATTATTGCATAAATAAATTATATAATGCATTATAGATGAGAGTTCTCATTTATGCATATTATAACTCTCTCTCTCACATCCTCGACATCCTTGAGGTCAATGTCAGAGGTGGTCATTAGTTTCTTGTTTCATGAGAAAAAGGAGTCACTATTTCTACCACCGTTACTATCACTATCATAGCTAACGGAACTGCCACAACTACCAAACACGCCTAAATATACTAATTTGTAGTCAATCATGTCATCAGGACTTTTAGTATTTCTAAAACAGAATTTCTACAAGGCTACGAACTTACCGCAGATCGAAGGCTCTATTATGTTGTCATCCTTGTCTAGATTCCTAATTATCGCCATGAACAAAAAATGGAGTATGAAGGGTACCAGATTTGTATTTGCAACTAAAGAAATCAAAATCTTGAAGTTGAGAAGGCTGGAAGGCTCTTGAAGGATTCTGAGAAGGCGTTAAAGGGCTTAGAAAACAAAAAACGTGCTAAAAATCAGAAGGATTAGGCTTTAACCCCTTTTTGTATAGGGTCACAAAATCAAGGATCTCTCATAGGTTTTCTATCAGATGCGGAAGGCTTTGCAGGCTTCTAACATGTGTGGGAAATTGAGATCAATTTTGTTATCCCGAGCAAAATCATAATTATTCGAATTTAATACCATGTGCGTGTTTCATCTTGAATGACATTTAGGGATTTCTGTCAGCTTACATTTAAGGATTTCCCTCAGTTGGGGTTTGGGGATTTCTCTCGGCTGGCGTTTGAGAATTAATCTCATTTACACCTGAAAGTGTGTCCCATTCTTAAGGGGACTTGTCCATACCTGAGGGACTCGCCCTTGTCTGAGCGACTCATCCAAGCAAGAACAAAAAAACAAACTAAATCACTTTGTCCTTTTCAAGCCCTGATGCTTGAGGGACTATGGATTGAGATATTTGCAAAATATCCATAAAAGGCGTCGTAGGGTATTCTCTAAGGGTAGGCAAAGTAACATGCCGCCTGAACCATCTTCCTAGCCGTCCATTTGATTAAAGTGTTCATCTCCCAGATCACTCGCCTCTCTGTAAAAACATAGAAGTCACGTGTCCCAATATATAACGATATGGAAGAGGGAGTCAAATAGAGACGGCCATGCTCCCCAAAGAAACGGGAGAAATAAATGTCATCTTCTCGTGCTCCCAAAAAGGGAGAGTGAGGAATAATTTCTTATAAACACCTCAACTTTGGAGTTAAGACGGGAGGTAATTTGATTACGAAAATACCTGACAGCCCTACAACACAATGCATTGTCACGTATTATACTTTTTGCAAGCATACAGGAACATGGATATGGTGATTTAATGATGCAAGATTGGTACTTAAAAGGTTAGGTGTTTGTTCATCCCGTATAGACGCACAGGAATTACTAAAATAAGGAGTATTGTCATTATTCAAAGAGTTATAGTACACAGGATAAGAATCAGTTTCTGTGGAATGAAAAATAGACTTAGATTTTACCTTAAAAGGGAAGTAATTCTTATAAAAAAACAACATTTTGTGAAATTAAACTGTCATGAGATTGAAGATGATAAAGAATGTAACCATTGTGTCAAATTTAAAACCAAATGGCCAACATTGTTACACTTGTAATACTGGTAGAACTAACACAATAACTTACCATTACAATAAAATTCAAGGCTATGCAGAACTATGAAATATAAAAACTAAAGCAGTACAATAATAGTAACATTACACATTTGAAACCCCTCCTCCTCTAGTTGAATCTGAATTCTGAGAAGGGAACAACACATTGTCATAAAGAAGACCGGCAACAGCAGCACCAACCAAGGGTCCAACCCAATAGACAGCTTGATTTCTGAAAGTTCCAGCAATGCAAGCAGAGCCAAAAGCACATGCAGGGTTCATGGATCCACCAGAAAATGGTCCTGCTGCCAAAACACCTGCTCCTGCTATTAATCCAATTACAAGTGTTCCTGTTGAACTCACTTGACCACGCCTAGTGTCCCTTGCAGCATATATTGTGTATACTAACACAAATGTTAGGATACCCTCTAATATGGATGCTCCAAATCCTGTCATCTCTTCTGCAATTACATATGTTGGTACGTGCTGCATGAAAAAAAAAATGCAAGATTTAAAGAAAATTGAAATTTTAATGTTAAAAAAAATGAAAGATGTAATCAAAATAGTAATACCATTCCAACAACAACAACTTTGAGGAAAAGACAAGCAATAACAGATGCAATAAGTTGAGCAACCCAATAAAAGAGAGCAGTTGGGACACTAATATGCCCACCAACAGCCATTGCAAATGTCACAGCAGGATTCACATGTCCGCCTGAGATGTCTCATACAATGTACAAAACTGATGACAGAGCAAACGCATTTGCAATTGCACCCACAATTAAACTTGTTGGGTTAAGTGAAGCATCAGGCATCAACTTCCCTGTCATTTGTCAACAAATCATGAAGGCATTATTAATAACTTGTAACAATTGAAAACAAGAAAAGTTTCAAACAATTAAAAATGATGTGATTTTCTGGAAGTAATTAATATGATATTTTGTAATTTCATTGAAAACTGACATATTTTATAGCACAAAACTTGCATGGCAAGAGTAACTTAAGGAGGAAAAGGGTATATTACTGACTTGAGGACATTCCCGAACCAACAACAATAAGAACATAGAAGAAAGTTGAGATAAATTCAGCGAGATAAGAACGAAGTGCACTTCGGGTGAAGGATTCATGAAAACGTGAAGTTACTGTGAAAGAAGAAGCCATTGTTATTTTGTGATGAGAGAGACTTGTTCATAAATAATTATAAGCAGTTGGAGATGTTTTTTTATGAGAACACAGTTTCTGTTTTCAGAACAATATAATGCAAGTTTTCAAATACAATAACTTACCGATAACCGCCAACTATTTGAGGGGAATATTATTTTTTTGGTTCGTGCAGTTAATTGTCAAGTTTTTTTACAACTTTATTCAAATGAATTATGAATACTATATAATTTTGTTTATATATACTAACATTCAGACAGCTACTCTCCGTTTTTTTAATGCACTTAAAAAAATAAATAATATTTTTTTGTTAAAATAAATTTTTTTAAAATACAATATATAAAAATTAATAATAAAAAATTATTTAAAAATTAATAATAATAAATTATATAAAAATTAATAATAAAAATTATTGAATAAATTACAAAATAATATAAAAATAAAAATGATAGAAAAATATGTAACGCTAAAACAAATCATTCCCTTTATATATTACTAGCGTCCAGACGGGCACTCGCGTGCCCGTCTGTCCGCTTTTTTATTACACACATATAAATATAAATGATATATTTTTATTTAATATTAATTTTACATTAAAGTTATGTGGGAAGTTATTAGTAGAGAGTTATATGAAAGATGATAGTAGTAGTTCAATGGAAGTTATTGTGTAAGTTATATATTTTAAAATAAGGGTAAATTTGGTATAAAAAAAAGCTACACCAAAAACCAAGTATTGCCTTTATATATGTTATAGATAAAGATATATTAAAAGATAAAATTAAAAAAATGCATTGATTTTTTCCTTTTAAAATACTCTTTTGATTTATGCGTCGGAGGGAGTATCTGTCTTCTTCTTCTTGTTCTATCGTCATCGTGCTAGATAGGGTTCGCAGAGTGCCAGTTTCTTCTTCCCTCTCTTCATTCGTTCATGTAACTCGCGCAATCAACTCAATCACGTGACAACTCACGAAATCCGTCACGTGCTTTAAACTAATTGGGGGAAAAAACTGTTCGAGCTTTCGAGGTTGAAACACTTGAAAGATGCAGAAATTGGGAGAGTTCAAACTACCTAATTTCTTCAATTACCCACCTTACTTCACGTAAATACCTCTTTTTCTTCTCTTACGTCGATTATTTTCTTCATATTTGCCTAATTGTGCATATTCTAAATGAGTCAAGCAACTTTATTGGTATTTAATTGAAAGATTCATTATTTTACTCTTTTATTTGCGAATTTCAATGCATAATGGTTATTGTGTGATTGTTAATAGTGAAAATGTGATTGACTTGTGGTTGATTAAGATTTTGATTTTGGATTCTGCCTTTCAGTTTGCAGCCAGTAAGGGACACTAGAGAGAAGCAAATACAGTTATGGAAAGAGCTTATTATAGATTACTGTAAAACACAGAAGGTTTTTGTGATTGGAATTGAAGATGAATTTCCACTTTTTACGAATACTGTAATTGAAAGTAAGCTTGAATTTCCTGCTTTCTTGCCAATTTCCATCGAGTTGTCGAAATCGGTTATTTACAAATACTTGCTTAGTTTTGTGTTTTGTTTATTTCTACTTTTTTTTGTTGAATGATTGTTTTCAGATTTTCGATAGTGCAGGATCTCTTACTCATGAAGCTAGAGAAGCGTTCCTTTCGGCTTTAGTTTCTGAGGGTATGCTTTGTGTTTGTGGATTTGTAATGCTGTAATTCGGTTAGGGGAAAATGTCTCAGGTTTGTTATTCCGTTTGACAGGGCGAGCTGAATGGATGGATAAAGGACGTAGAAAATGTCTCATTTTATGGCATCGGATTCAAGATTGGGCTGAAATTTTACTCCAGTTTGTAAGTTCGAATTCTAGTTTAATAATCACTTCATGCAAATAGGTATTTATTTCCTTGTGATTGAATTTACTGGAATATTGATAGGCAAAAGATAATGGACTGGAAGATGGTGTTGTGACCATAGAGGAAATACGATTTGGAACTGAATCTCAAGGAACAGGTAATGCACTGACTGATACCTGTAGGTTGTATTTAGTACTATAGTTTGGGATAGGTCAAGTTTTACAATATATCCGGTTAATTATACTGTAGTTGTCTTATCATTTCTTCGTGCATAATGATATATTAGGGTTTAATGCTGATTCTTTTGGTTGATCTTTGTAAAAATAGTTTCGCCTTTCAGTTTATTTCCCTCTAATTTTGTTGGATCGAGTCATTTGGATGGGACTGTTTATCGTTAACGGTGATTGAGGGATAGACTGAAATTCAGATAGATATATTCTTTGTAGCTCCGACACCTCTGAACTGAAACGTGTCCTGTGTTCGACGTGCACACGACACAAGCACATGTGATTACGTTCAATTTATTTATTTTTCAAATTGCTACTATTGTGTCGGTGTCGTGTCTGTTGTCCGTGTTAGTGCTTCATAGGATATATTTCCTTAATTTTACTTGGACTCAACTGAAGATATGGTGAAAGTTATCATGGCAGAGACTGAGAGCAAATACCCCAAAATGTTTTTGGATATCCATAGTATAAAATTCAACGATTTGTCTTTTTATCTTTACATTCTAGTTTTGTTTGATATAGTACTAAAAAATGTTTATGCTTTAGTTGTATCTTTCAATAGGGTGATGGGGAAAGTGTGCAAGCAATAAACATATATTAAAAATGAAAATGAAAATGGTTTACTTATATCTACTAACAATTTAAAGTGGCTTTACACAATCACAACGAATGTTTAAACTGAAAAACTACAAAGAATTCTACTGCAAGTGAAATGCTAAAATAACATGCTACATTTCCTGCTACTTGTATTGTATTGTAAATGTTTAATCATCCAAAATGGGTATAATATAAACTCGTGTTAAAATATCTAACAAGCTTAATATCATTGTTTGAAAGCAATACCAAAACATAAGTTAATGAGAAAGCTTGGCTTGAACATGACATGCCTTTTCTGCCTTATATCCCAAATTCTTTCATTCTTTAAACTGAAAGTCATTATTTTTTTTTAATTTATAGGTAAAATCTTCATTGAGTGTTTATTATTTGCTTAAACTTTCAGTACAAGTGGTTCTTTGACATAATGTCAGAGCTTGATTGTATTTCGTCTAACGTTTGACCTTTGCCGCTGCAAGTTTGGGTGCTGCTGTACTATAAAATGAAACACTCTCAAAACAGAAAAATAAGAGGGCAGAAAGAAAAGATGATAGAACCTTTGCGCTGTTTAAGATTTAACAGAAAAATAAGAGGGAAGAAAAGATGATAGGAACCTTTGCGCTGTTTGAGATTTTTGAATTGATTTATTCAGGAGGAGCTGTATAAGGTGAAAATATCATTAGGTCATACATAGACTAGTATGCAATCTAAGAACAGGATACTACAACAAAAACAATTAACCGTTATAGGTGATGGGAACAAGCTATAAGATAAAATGGACTACAACAAAGACAATTAACCGTATTATAGGTGGTGGGGTTTCAAAATTTCTTTTCTAACATTTAAGTGGAGTTGAAACAGTAGAGGTTTTAATTTGACGCATGCACACATAATCTAGTACGGCATAAACTCATGTATGATATAGTAGAGGTTTTAATTTGACGCATGCACACATAATCTAGTACGGCATAAACTCATGTATGATATAACAGATTTTGAAAATTATCAGACATGACACACGGCTGTATTAATCACATAAAAGCTACTATAAAATTAATATAAAAGCATGAACATTAAATCCAAAGAGTGAGTCAATATTGTAAAGGTTAGAACATGTAATTGTAAACATAATTGATTTGGAAATTCAAAAACTAAGTGACAAATTGTAAAATACAAGTGGAAGTATAGTTAACATACAGTAGTAATGTAAAATAAAGGGGAACCAATTCCAAAGTAATGGAAATGTTTCATTGGGGACTGTCATGTCACCCTGTGAGGCTGTAACTAGAGGTTCGCACCACACCACAATTTCTGGTGTCTGCATTAGGATAGATGCATTGTATTCGAGTAGTTTATGGGACTCCATGATGTACTGAATTCAAAAGCCAATGTGTTTCTTAGTAGCATAACGTAGCATCTGTAATTTCATGACATATATTATAAACATCATATGGGGTCAAGTAAACTTGCTTATGGACCCCATCCCTCATCGAGAAACGAGAACTGCATTTAACCCTTGACCTACCTCACAAACTTACATTGTTAAGTCTATCAACTTTCCTTTTAGGGCACTTTTTATCATGATTATGTATACTGCTAGTTCCTGCATGCTGGACTGTGCAATGGTTTTGACATTGGCTCTAATTGTTTCTTATATGCTGCAGAACTTCAAGGAATAGACAGAACTATTTTGAACCGTGCATTGAAACTATTAGAACAGAAGGGGAAGCTTGTGGTCTTTAAAGGAACTTCAACAGATGATGAAGGAATTAAGTTTTCTGTATAACTGTTTGTTGTGTTAGTCTATTGAATCTTAATGAATTTCAAATGACTTCTTTGAAAGGTCTTGGCCTACCTATCTGACTTGATGAGTATGTCATTGGGAAAGATATCTAAGATCAAGCTGGCATCACCTGCTATCATCCAGTATTATTTTGGAATCTTGTCTGTGTTAAGAGTTTAGCTTTGTCATGTAATCTTGGTTAGGCTAGTGAAACTGCATTCCTTGTGACATCATGAAATTCATAAATGGGAGTGTGTTCCTATCTTACAATGCCCTAAAAGCATGTGTTATGGCTCATTTTATACGTGGTTTTAATAAAATCTTTTTGTCCCATTTTAATAATCAATTTATAATATTTAATAAAACTATAAAAAAAATCTATTAGGCTATTACCCTTGTTAATATTTTTGTAATCGTTATATATTTTTCTTTTTCAACTTAATATGAAAAATAGTAGAAGACATTAGAAACCTCCAGAGCTTTTGGTATCTTGAAAATAAATTGTGATGCATTTGTTTTTCAACAAGGTGTTTTTGCTCCTTGTGGAGGAATAGCTGGATATTCTTATGGGGGATTTTTTTTTTTTTTTTTTTTGTGTTAATCTGGGCTGCTGCTTCATACTACAACCTGAGTTATAGGCAAATCATTGAGATTTAACAATAGGTGAAGAAAATGGCGTAATTCATTTGATGATGGAGTCAGATATTCTGTTAGTAGTAAAATTGATTCAGGGTGCTGGGTGCATGCATTAGGCCTCGTCTTTGTTTCAAGATGGGGACTGGCATTTTATATTACCTCAGGATTTGGAGTTGCTTCATATTACTCGTGTTTTGAGAGAGGCAGACCATATTACTTGGGATTTGGAGTTTATTCATGTTTTGAGAGAGGTGTTATACATTTTCTCTGCCGAAAGAGGTAAAGAAAGTATAAACAACCTAGTAAACGGACAATTCTAAGTAATGGTCACTCTGATATCAAATTTATTCAAATATTTGTCTATATCACTGCCTTCCTCTTGATCTAATAGGATCATGGTGCGAGAGCTCATGATTTTGAATTCATTCAAAAGTGAACTACTCATCTCTCATCAGGTATAAGGTAGTCAAAGTTAAAACTGGTGATCACTACTAGATTTTCTGAATTCATTCAAAAGTGGACTACTCCTCTCTCATCAGACATAAGGTAGTCAAAGTTAAAACCGGTGATCACTATCAGATTCTCTGTCCAGATTAAAGGAAAGCGACTGGCACCATCCGCCTCGATTGTGACCATAGAGGTGCCATCTCGTCCCATTATCTTCACAAACTTGCCTTTCCAATTTTTTCTAATTTTTATAATGGTTGAAATAAGGTTTCAACAGTGCTCAAACAAGTAACACTCAAGGTCGCACAACTACCTTTAGTATCAAACTTGGTGCGTTAGAAAGAGAAGACCTTGCTTGTGTTTGGGTGGATTTTCAGTCGCTGTGCCTTAATTAAGCTCCAGCTAATAGGCAAAATATGGGGACGGGCGTTGTTTGGCGTCACTAGCACCTCTGCCTCAAACGAGGAGAAAGGAACTAGAATCCCTACATCACAGATAACAGGGAGGTGTAAGTAAAAATAGGGACTGGATGAGTCATCTAAGACCCGTATTGACCCTATATGTCATAGATCACGCTTTCGAGATAAGTTCATGCTCATCACCTGAAGAGGGGAAGTTTGCATATTTTTAAAAGGAGACTACCTCTCCTCACTAGTATAATAAGTTTCGAAATCCATGAAGCTCTTGTGCTCAAGATCAGATGTCACTATTAACTTTGTGGTTTTCGAGAAAACAGACCATGATTAATACAACTCTTATGCTCAGGATCAGATCTCGCTATTAACTTTGCGGTTCTTGAAAAAACAAGCCATGATTGATACCACTAGTGCCATCACTATTAGAGTTAGTGGAACTCTGACAACTATCGGACATGTCTAACTTTACTAATTTGTAGTCAGCCATATCTTAAAGACATTTGGCATTCCTATAATAGTAATTCCACATTGATATACGTTCACTGCGATTCGAAAGCTCTACTAGGTTGTGGCTCTCGTCTAAATTCCTAAATATCACCATAAATAAGAAAAAGAAGCAGAAAATGCAACAAATATGTACTCGCATATGGAGGGTTGAGAGCTTGAGCTTGAAAAAAATAGAAGGCATATATGCTTTTGAGGATTTTTGAAGGAGCTCTCAAGAACTTTGAAGATGATATGCGAAAAGGTAAAATGGTTAGGGTTGAATCTCTATATAGAGGTTTAAAGCCTAGTCATAGAGGTAATCAAGGGTCTCTCCTTAGGTTTTCCAATAGTTACAAAAGATATCCTCGCGTTTTTCACACGTGTGAAGGATTAGGATCCTTTTGGCTTCCAAGAGCTAAATAGTTATTGGTCACAATTAATGTTGTGTGTGCGATTCAACTGACGTTTAGGGTTTTTACCTCGACTGATTTTTGAGGATTCACTTTGTTGCGGTTAGAATAGGATATCAAATTATTAATTAATTTGAATCACATCTTTTAGTTCACAACCGATCTTTGATTTATCCGAAGGAAAAGGTCAAATGAAGGAAAATCATTTTTGCATCGTAAACAATGCGTGGAGAGACCTAGGTAAGGGGTTGGTTAAGCTTAGGAAAGGTATTAGCACCCTAAACTTCTGTAGTACTCTAGAAGAACCTTTTGTTTATTTTTACTATTTTTACTTTGTTATTTGACTTAGGGTATATACTGAGCTAAAGGTTAAGAGTGACAAAGAGACCTAAGGGTTAGTCCTAAGTTTACTCGCCAAGATTCACATCTTGTGCCTACGTATCTGAGGTAGGGGATGGAATCAGAGTAATCGTAGTTCCCCTCGAAAGGGGGGTTAGAAACTTCTTGAGTGTGGTCGAGGTTTCAAATGGGGAATAAACGTTTCTTAAGGAAACGCTTACGTGGAGTTCTGAAACTCCTATTTTTACGTTGAATTTGTCAATTAAAAATTAGGGTTAAGATTAAGGATTCCACGACGGGAAACCCTAAAGCAGAGTACGACGACTCTTTGACCTAATGCTGGGTAAAGGGTATTTTCGTCCACGGCGGGACACATAGGCTACTAGGGTTTTGAAGTTGTCAAAGGGTTAGGTTATTTACTCGGCAGTCAAACGGCTAGACCTAATCCTTCAGAAGGTTTTAACGGTAAAAAATATACAGATGAAAAATTATTATATGGCAGACATTAAAGTATGAACATAAAGAAAAGGATAAAGCAAAAGCATCGCGACAATCACTCGCTTAAATTACAAATCCAAAAATGTAAGAAATAAATAACTGCGACGATGGCCTCGTATGATTACAAATGAAAATTGACAACATGAACGAACAAAATATTGATAAATTAAAACAAACAATAATGAGGTGTAGACAGACGTGGAATGGCTACACCAAAAATTTTATTTTAATTTTTTTAATTTTATTTAAAGGACATAATTAATATTTTTAAAAAAGTCCACTATTTTAATTAAGAAAAAACTTTAAATTTACATTTTTGTATTTTTGCAACGGAAAATTATTTTAAGGTTAAGGTTTTATTTTTAAGATCTTGTTTTATCTTCATAAAATAAAAAGAGTAAAAAAGAAAAAAAACAATAAAAGAAAAAGAAAGAGAAAACGAAAACGGAAGACAAGGAGGGGCATATATTGGTCTGTGGTTTGCTAGGTTTTATTCCTTTTCCTCTTCTTCCCTCCCCCATCACCGCGGCGACCATAGGTGCCTTGTCTCTGAACTTTCTTTCTTTCCTTTCCTTGCTTCCTGCGCGCCGCCAGCCATGAACGAGCCTTTGAAACTTTTCGTCTCTTCTTCATTCATATGCATGTCCCTTCTTCTCCCATTCTTTTTCTCTGCAAAACAAATAACCAACAAAAAAGTGAAACTTCTCATGGGTGGCTTACGTTTTGATGAGGATTTTCGACGGATTTTTGAAGTATGCTTGTGATTTCAATGATGTTGATGATGTTCTGGATGTTGTGATTTGCGTCGGCCGCCGGAAACTTCAATCCGATGATGGTGATGCAATCTGGGCCGGTGATTTCACGGTGGTCTGTCTAATGATGTGCAAGCTCAAGACGATGAGTTTGTTAACGGTTCCCGGTGGTAGTGAAGTTGGGCTTCAACGCCGCCGCTCCATAATGCTCCGGAACTTCTTCCCCTTCTTACTCTTTCTTTGATGGTGATGATGAGGCCAGGGTTTCTGAATCCGCCGCCGATCCGGTTCGTTCCCTTTAGGGTTCTCCCCCCTTTTATGAGAAAAACTTCTGATCCTTTATATCAATCTGTTTATGTGGGCTTTACTCTTTATTTCGCGGATCTGGTTGCGAAAATTGTGGCTGAATCTTGGCATTGATTTGTTTGATGAGTTGGTTTTGTGCGGTTTTGTTTGAACTTGCTTGTTGCTTTTCAGGTGATTCACGGTTGGTTTGTTTGACTGGGTTTGGATCCGTTGAAACCGAGAAATTCTTGGAAAAAACGTTAAGGCCATGTTTGGCAAAACGTTTTTCTAAAAAAAATCACTTTTTAAATAAGCGCTTTTTCAATAAGCACTTTTCAAACCAGCTTTTTTTCAAAAGCACTTTTATCTCTCTCTCTCTGGTTGCCTCGAAAAATAAGAACGAAATGCTGCCAATTTTAGCTTTTTGGTCGGAAACAAAATCGGGAGCTGGGTTCGGAGCAATCCGTTACCCTCCCGACACGCCCGATGATGAAACCTTTATGAGGGCGTTGGAAAATACTAATCCGATAAAATTTGCTTGCTTTGATTTTGCAGTTTCGGAAAGTCGGAGGTTCGAAAAGTCGAAGAAATCGGAAGAATTTAGAAATTTAGGAATTTAGGATTTTATTTAAAATGTAATTAAATATAAATTTATTATTTTTATTTTTCTTGTAAAGAATTTCTATTATTTCTAATAAAAATTCTTTATTTTTTTTAAAACATTATTATTATTT